CCCTGTAGATGCGCCCAATTGACTGGAAGATGGAATCCCCACCTGCTGCCCCTCTGGGTGGTCATAACTTTGTAATTACCGATTTCATGACTTTTACAATCCTTGCCCTAATGCATGATGCCTTAGGCCTTGTAAATTCCCTTTCCTCTAGGCAAGCTTGATTGCCACCGTGAGATACCTCTGGCATCAGGAAGTCTGTTTCTGAAAAGACAAAGTCTGCAAAGTTAATTTGATCTAAAGTGTGCATTTCTCCAAAAGCACAGCTTTTACTTTCTCATCATTGTGGCAGAGTTTAAGAACAAGATGAAAAATGGCTTCCCACTCTCAGTCTGTCCTTTGACTCACAGCGTGGGAGTGGACGGATGAACACCCGTCCGGGGGGAGGGACTCAGAAGGGAGGCCTTCATGAAGGCTGCTGCGCCCTGTTCCTGCTCGAGGGAGGTCGTGAGGCTACAGCCACCGTCACCACGGAGCCAGTGGTGGGCACCACCTTCTCTCGGGCCCTCCTCCGTCCTCCAGGCCATCCCAGGCCATCCGCTCCCTCTGCTCCCTCTCCCTCTCCCTCAAGCTGGAAACTTCTCACCCCAGCTCTTCCCTGAGCCCTTCCTGTCCCCAACCGTGTCACCGGCTGGGACTCTGGGCAGGAAGCTCCCACTCCTCCCTCTTGCCCGTCTTGCTCTTCCTTGGGTGAACATTTACCAAGCCCTCGCCCTCCCTGACTCTGTTCTCCCGTCCTGGCCCCAACCCCCACCCACCTCTGTCCTCCTGTCCTGGCCCCCACTGCCATCCCAGGCCACACTTTGGGCACGAAGTTGCCCCTCCCCCTCCACCCCTCCAGCACACCTCGCCCCCTGCCTTCCCCACTCTACGCGGGGACAATCTCTGCTGACTCCACAAGGGACTCTTTGTCCCGAGGCCGCCAGCCCGGAGACACCATGCCGCTTCACGTTGCCCACGCCACTCTCAAGTTTCCTGGTCTGTGTGGTGTTCTGCTTTAGTCCTTAAGAAGCCATGACTCACTCCTGAGGAGGCCCAGGGCCTTGAAATCAGTAACCCCCGTCTGCGGTGTCGGGTGACCGTCACACCCGGCGTCCCTGCTGGGCGCATTTGGAAATGAATTCAGTGAGGTTTTCTGAGCTGAATTCTCCGTCCCTTGAGAGGGATTCGGAGGCGAGATGTCCCTGTTACCACCCTTCACCCACAGCCATGAAGAGTATGGACTCGCTCACAGGTATTTCCGGCAAGTTTGGCTGATCCGCTGTCACGACGACACAGAGCTAGGGCTGGAAGAGGAAGCCACGTCCTGCCCCGAGATGCCCTGGGGCCGTGGCCGCCACTCGTACTCAGGTTGGCATGTCTACTCCTTCGCCCATCCTCCCTTCGAGTCCCTGTCCCTGGGGGGGGGGGGGCGCTGACTTGATGGCTTCCTGTCCCTCCAGTACAGTAACCAGCAAAGACACTTCGAAGCTGAGCTGCGGGCAGAGCCGACACTCCTCTGCCCTTCGCGCTCCTCCCCCCACCCTTGGCCGGGTGTGTGTGAGGAACACCAAGGGCTGGGGGGGGTTGGGCCTCTGTGGGGGACACAAGGGTGCCGGGGCAAGTGCCTGTGCTCAGAGTTGCTGTCCTGGTGTGGCCCTGACACAGTGGCTGGGTGCTGGGGTGCCACCTGCACCCCTAGCCCGGCCAGGCTGGACTGGGGCCCTCGAGGGGATTCTGCAGTGGCCGGTGGCTGGCGGTGGCTGGCGGTGGCGGCCGGTGGCTGGCGGTGGCTGATGGGTGGGGACCTTGTCGGGTTCTTGGGTTTTTCAGGCACGAATGAGCTGAGTCTGACATGAAAACCAAACCAGAGGACATGAAGCCATTTGCGTGGTGGCCACTCTGGCAGTCTGCCCTTTTGGAGGAAGGGACAGGAGCTCCCAGGGGCACCTGCTCCCTCAGCGCTCCCTGCGCGTCCCTCTGCCCCGTTGCAGTGAGTCCTCCCGCCTTTTCTAAGGGCACAGTCCCCTTCCTGAGGGCTCTGCCCTCATGGCCTGTCGCCTCCCAAGGCCCCACCTCCCACCACCATCCCCTGGGGTGAGGGTTTCAATGTGTGAACTGCAGGGGGACACAGAGACAACAGCACTGAGAGTCTCTATTTTGTTTTTTTGAGTCAGATCCTCACTCTGTCGCCCAGGCTGGAGCACAGGGGCATGCTCATGGCCACCGCAGCCTCAACCTGCTGGACTCAGGTGATCCTTCCACCTCTGCCTTCCAAATAGCTGGAACTACAGGCACGCACCACCACACCTGGCTAAATTTTGACTTATTGTAGAGACGAGGTCTTGCCAAGTTACCCAGGCTGACCTCGAACCTCTGGGCTCAGGCAATCCTCTCGCCTTGGCCTTCCAAGGTGCTGGGATTACAGACTTGAGCCACTATGCCTGACCGATTCCTTATTTTTTTGCAAAGCAATAATCATGTGCTTGCTAGAATGTGAGGCAGGAGACACCCAGGCGTTGAGGCTTGTGGATACTCAGGTGGGAGTGGAAGGACTGTCCCTACCCGCCCCGGAGTGGTGTGACTGACATCAGGACAGGCGCAGAGTCCTGGGAAAGCCGTGTGGCTTGACTTCTCAGGGGAGTGCGACCTACGGCTTGTAGCGTAGTGCCACGGTTCACATGCAGCATCTCCCGTCCTTCCCGAACACAGACCCGTTTCCCGGAAAGTCTCTTGGAATGACTGTTCCTAGAACACAGTGACGGCAACATCTAGCACTGACATCAGCCTGTCCCTGTTTAATGCGCCGCCTGTACGGAGCAGACGAGCTCTCATGACAGTCTCCCGCGGAAGGGGGGTCACCATCCCCAGGTGGCAAGTGAGGAAACTGAGGCGTGTAGAGACCAAGTGACTTGCCTGGACGCCCAAGCCCCAGGGTGAGAGGGTGGAAACGCTGCTCCGGCCGCAGGCCTGACACACGGCTGGAGATGAGTGAGGGCACAGTCTCCACAGCCGCCACTGCTTGAAGCAGACTTGGTGGGAGTCTGGGAGGAAAAAACACACCCTGACCTGTTGACGTGTGAGCGTGCTGGTCTCGTCTGCCTGTGCCTAAATGGCGTGTGTCCCTCCAGATGGGAAGACCGAAGAAGGAGAGTCACCACGGTGGAGACCGGAGCGTCACGTGTGCCACTTGGATGCACATCACTGGCCCGGTCTCACTGGATGCTGTGAACTGTCCCTGAACCTCCCGTGGCTGCCACGGCCAGGGGGACACTGCTGTTTCTTCACCAGGGACGCACGGAGCCCAGACCCTCAGCGCTGCTCCCGCCTCTTGACTGCTGCTGTCTGTGGGAGAAGTGCCAGCGAGCCAGGGATGGGTGAGGGGGACCGACTCCCGCTCGCCTGCCCAGGGAGGAGGCAGGTGACAGCAGGGGCAGGAGCATCAGCTGGGAGAGCCTGGGGCCTGGCAGGTCCCGGGGCCGGGTTCTGCAGGTGACCGTGAGGATGCCCGAGCTCGGTGATACAGCTCCTCCTGCCGGCTGCGGACCTGCCAAAGCTGCCCGCGAATGCAGCCAGGACCCAGCAGCGAGCTGAGGCCACGTGCTCCTCAGGGGCCAAGTGCTGTGTGTCTGTGCTGGCCGCAAGGAGGAGGGAAGCCAGGCCCTGCCACCCTTGGCCATCCTGTGGGCCCACCTTGGCACAAGGATCCCAAGACTGAGCGAGCACACACGGCTGGTCTGACCTGGGGCTGATGGTGAAAGGTGCGATATGTCATGGTGGCCTCTGGGACAGGCCTTGTTCTCCACCCAGGGATGCTGGATGCAGCCCCCCCGAGTCCTGCAGAGGCGCCGTCCTCCCGGCAGCTGGAACTCAGCGACTGAAGCCACGAAACCACAGCCCCAGGGCCAAGAGAAGGTGGACAGGTGGAAGGCTCCTGTGCAGGGCGACAAGTCGGCCTCTCCGACAGACAGGTTGGTGCAAGTCACCAAAACCCCGCCCTCCAGGGCTCACAGACCACACTTCCGAGTCCAGTTTCCAGTGCCGGCCTCAGGGACTGCAGACCATGAAGTACTGAGACGAACTGGCCGGAAAGAGGTCCGCCGTTCACTTGCTGTGCTTCTTGTGAACACGCTGCACGTGGCCTGGATGGTCTGGAGGGGCCTGGGAGGAGGTGGGAAGCTGTGGCTGCGGGGGCCCCTCGGCAGCTGGTGGCTCCATGGTGGGGGATGCACCCCAGTTGCTCCCCTTGCTGGCGGCTGCCTCTGGAGTCCCTGGCACCCAGGTCACTCGGCGCATGGGAGGGTAGAGCCACAAGGTGGACTCGATGCCAAGGCTGGGGGCTAGCAGGCCACAGGATGTCCGTTGGGAGTGTGTGGCCCTGAGCGTCTGCCCACACAGGTGCTGGGGGATCGCGGCTTGGGGGCTATTCTCTCAGTCGTGCTCGTTGTCTTTGACACATGAAGGGGGTGTCTGCCTGCTGCCTGGACCCCATCTGAGCTTAGAAGTGCACTGGAATAGAGCTGCAACAAACATATGTGTACAGAAATCATTTTTGTAGAATGATTTGAGTTCCCCTGGGTATATTCCCAGCTCTATTCACAATAGCAAAAACATGGAAACAACCATGTTGCCCATCAAAGCCAGACTGGATAAAGAAAATGTGGTACATATACACAATGGAATATTATGCAGCCATAAAGAAGGACAAATATATGGACTTCGCAGCAACTTAGATGGATTTGGAGTCGATTATACTCAGTGATCTATCACAGAAACAAAGAGCAGAGTACCATACATTCTCACTCATTAGCAGAACTTGAACAATTATAATACTATAAGAAAGCATTTGGCAGTAATGGGAAACTGTTGGGGGGGTGGGATTGGCAGTTGAGGGAAACTGCTAGGGGAGAAAGGGCACACCTCATCAACAAGGGTACCTGCATAATCAATGTTTGTATATCTAACCCTGAATCGTACCCCACATATTTATAATTAAACAAAAATAATATTAAATAAATAAATTAATTAAAAAAAAGAAGTGCAATTGAATGCCTGGTAGGTGGTGGGAAACGCCCACCCTACGATGGGCTACAGGGTGTCCAGTTTATTTTTAAAGTCACCACATAAGCAAAGCTCACCATTTCAGGAACCTCTTGACCAGATTCCCAAAGCCTCCAGGACTGGCCTGACCTGGGCTATTCCAGAGGCCACAGGCCACTGAGTCTCTGTTCTCCTCAAGCAAAAAGTTTGGAGGCGCAGATGCCCACGTAGATTGTGGTCAAGTGACCCACCTGAAAATAGGTCCGGGACCTGATGCTCCCCAGGCCTCTCTTGTGACTCACGGAGAATCCAAGAAGTCAGGAACCGACAAATGGTCTGAAAACGACGTGACCGCGTGTTCCTGGCCCCTCACAAGCCAGAAACAGCAACTTTGCATCGTAAAGGTGGGCGTGTCCTCGGGCTCTTTCCCTTGGGTCTTCCGTGTGTTTACAGCAGTCTTCCAAGACAGCCTGTGATCGCAACATTTTGTGAGGCCGAGGTGGGAGGTTTGCTTGAGCCCAGGAGTTTGAGACCAACCTGGGCAACATAGCAAGACCTCATCTCTGTGAAAAAAAAAAAATTAGCTGGGTCTGGTGGCTCCCGCCTTCAGTCCTAGTTACTCAGAGGCTGAGGCAGGAGGATCACCTGAGCCCAGGAGGTCAAGGCTGTGGTGAGCCTTGATGGTGCCAGTCTGGGTGACAGAGTGAGACCCGCTCAAAAGAAAAAGAAGAGGAAGAAAAAGAAGAGGAGGAGGAGGAGGACTTGCGGCCGGGGGGACAGGACACAGACCCGGGAGGGAAGCCTAGGCAGCTGGTTCATGGGCCAAGCAGGCACCGGTGCGTGTGGGCTAGTGCAAGTCAACCACGATCGCTGACCCTTGTCAGCTGCCAGGCGTCAGGCGTGTGTCCTGCGGCGTAGACACCTTTCATCCGTACATGCTGCTGGAGGAGACACTGCCACTGTCCGCCCTGCAGGGCCCAAGCCAGGTGGCTCTAAATGGCTTTAAGCTCAGGCCCCAGATTCCAGGGCCTGCCTGGACCCCCGCACGGCCCAACTGCCCCAGGGGACCCAGCCCTGACTGGAAGTCAAGACTAAAGCCACAGCGGAGCCCTTGACCCAGGTGCTCACGGCAGCTATGGGAGTGAATGGGCTTTCCGAGGGAGAGTGCAGGCGGATGGGACAGAGAAGGAAACTCGGGGAGGCCCACGGGGTGTGGCCTTCAGAGGACAGGCTGGTGAGGTCAGAGACGGAGCGGGGCTAGGAGAGGCTCCCTCCACGTGTCTCCACATCCCTCCATCCATGGCCATCCGTGTCCTTCCACATCCACCCGTCTCTCCACGTCCCCCCAAATCCATCCCTCCATCCATGACCATCCACGTCCTTCCACATCCATCCACCTCTCTCCCGCCATCCACGTCCCTTCGTGTCCACCCAAGTCTCCCCACGTCCCGCCATATCCATCCGCATCCACCCATGTCGCTCCACGACCATCCCCATCCCAGTGGCTGAGGCTG